CCTAACATTCCCCAAATATATATATATAATATGCATAGGATCGGTTTCAGTACTCCGGATTAAATCGGATTAAATTAATATTGCAGTGATATGATTCGATTTATACACTTAATCAAAATGACACTAAAAGTCTCACAACAGACAATAGTACAATGTATATTACATATTCTAACACACATCATATAATTTTACATATCATATTATATAATTGGTTTAAACACAATAAATATATTTATACAGTAAAGTACAACATATAAACTGCATATCATATATTTTTATATAATACGATATTATGTTTTGTCTTGCAATTAGAGTGTTGACTACATTGCTGTTAGAATTGGGTATTAATTAAGGTTAATCAATATTGTACTTATTAGCCCTAATCATCGTTCGAATATGATTTTACAGTATATACTAACAATTTATACAATATAATATATGTTTTGTATTAATATACTTTGTGTGTTGAAATCAATTATAGCATATATCGTGTGGATTATTATCATACGACTGTTGGTATATTATATTTTTTTTTAACATATTTTATCTATTGTAAACACTGAGTAACAATAGCCAAAAAAATATAAATAGTTGAAAATGTAAGAAATTTAAGACATAAATATTAATAGAATTAATAAATGATGAGGGCGTTTGACAGATAGTTTTTTGAAGAGCTTTTAGCTATTTGACCGGTTAAAAAGCTAATTTAGGTGTTTGATAAATTAGCTTTTTGGAATAGCTTTTTGGACCCAGAAAGCTAATTTCTGAAAAGCTAACTTACATGGCGTTTTAAAATAGCTTTTTCTGTAAAAAAATTTTTTATTCCTTATATGTCCTTAAAAATTTATTATGTATTTTACACAAATAAATATATTTTGATTATTTATTAATTATATTAGAATATTTTATTATATTATTGTTTTACTTTTATAAATTTAAAATAGTAATTAATTTTTATATAAAAATTATTAATCGTAAAATATATAAATTTATTACAATTAACATAAAATAGAAATTATAAATATTAATAATGTATTTTCATATTAAAATTACATTATATAAATTTTATACTAAAAATAAATTAAATTTATTGAAAATTATAAATATAATGAAATAAATAAAATTTATTGAAAATTATAAATATAATGAACTAATCAATAACTAATATAATAAATATATACATAAAAATTTATTATTTTATATTTTACATTATTTTCAATAGAAAAAACTATTTATATATTTCAATAAAAATATATTATTTTTTAAATCTAAATATAATAAAAATAAATACTTTTATAACACTTTTTATAATTTTCAATAACTAATAACAAAAAACTTCAAACATTTTAAACTCAAAAGAACATAATTGAATATATTAAAAACAAAAATAAAATAGAAATGTCCTCAATTATCATTTTACGTATAAACAGCTAATATCAAACAATTGTTTTACCAAACATTTTAATATAAACAGCTAATCGAATCGGCTAGTCAAATCAGCTAATTGAATCAGCTAACAGCTATCAGCTAATTGTCAAATACGCCCTTTATTCATACTATAACTAATTATAACTTTAACATTCAATAACGACCTAAACAAAATACACCAACCTCAATAAAGTCAAACAACAAGACAAATCTTGAATCAAAATCAAATTTATTGCAATCGAGACCTTTGCGGGTCTGTTTGTTCGACGTTTGAATTTTGAGATGAAATCTAAAAAGTAAAAATTTTGAATTTGAATAATTGTAAGATGTGATATTTTGAATGTAAAATTAATTTTTAGTATAATATAAAAAATAAAAAATAAGTGTTTGATTTGATATTTTTGAAAAAAAAAAATGGGATGAATAATATATTTAAAATCCAATCCTCCAAACTAACACACAATAATGTGTTTGATTTGTACTGATGTTTGTACTTTATATCCAAATAATTATTAAATATGATATTTTATGAAATAAAAATTACTTTAATAAGAAATCATCAAATTTGTAATATAATAAATAAAGTGAAAAAAAGAAAAATTTCAAATAGAATAAAGTTATAGATTAAGAATAAGTATACTTCACATCTGATGCGATTTGATAAAATTCATAAATTAATTGATTTGTTCTTTCTATATTTTTTTCCACATGTTTTTTTTTAAAAAATTAATATAATATACATATTTATTATTTTTATATCTTTTACATAATTTTCTATATTTTATATATATATAAAAAAATTATTTCCACTAATCTCAGGAAACAAACACATCTCTTTATTTATTTATTTATTTATTTTTTTGCATCTGTTAAAGAAAAATGTTATAATTCTCAAAATAAGACACTCTTGTGGGTCGAAACTTCTTTTTAAATTTTTTTTACTCAACATTATCATAATTATCACTTATTATTTTCATCCGTCAAATGTATTTTCACTTTTTTTTTAATTCGTTCATCACATTATTAATTTTGGCAAAGTCAATATATCAATGTTATAATATTATCTTTCGTTCAACACTTACTTACAACAAATATCATTATTTTTATTATAACCATTCAACAATTATTTACAACAAATATCATTATTTTTATTATAACCATTCAACAATTATTTACAACAAATATCATTATTTTTATTAGAATAACTCTCTTCATTTTCTTTAACTATTAAAATTTCAAAATATCTTTAACTTCCTTTTTATTTTAATCATTTTTACAATAAAATATTTATATTTTTTAATTTCTATACTATACCAAAGTGCGCCAATTTTACTGGACGAATGAGGTATAATTTTTAAAAATATATATGCATTTATGTAATAATATGAAAAAAAAAAAACTTTATCTTGTTAAAATATACGAGCATTCTTATTTTTTCAATTAATTTTAGAAGATTTGTCTCTAAATAATTTTCTTCTAAATAACTCAAATCATATTTAACTTTTGTTTTAATTACCTCTTATATCCCAAAATCCTCAAAAAATAAAATAACCTATTGCTTTATATATATATATATATATATATAATTTAAACATAAAAGGATAGACGTAATAGTAATTTTTTAGAAATATTACAACTAGTAATTGAACTTTTTGGTCACAGTAGACACAAGAATTTAGGATAAATATAATTAATAGATAATTAAAAATGTATTAGTGAAAATAATTATCCTATAATATAAATAATTATAAATTAAGATTAAGATAACTAATTACTTTAATTAAAATAAAAAATTAAATTAAAAAATTTAAAACGAAATTAAAGTGTGTAATCATTTTCCAAAAAAAAGAAAGTGACATGGAATGTAGAACGGACAAAAAGAGCAATATGGACATAGTATGTGAAACAGAAGAAATACTATTTTCGAATAAAATATAGTATCACATACTAATTTTTACTATTATTAATTTTTTCATAAAGTCCAAAAGTTTATATGGAGCCTTAGTGAGGTGAGTCGTGGTTTTTTAAAATTTGAAGTTATAATTAATTAAGCAATTATTTATTTATTATTTTTATAGAGGTAATGTGTTATTGATAAATGTAATAAATATGTATTAACTGTATTTTCTAATAGAAGCAACACAATTTGTTATAATAAAAATTAAGAAAGTAACTAAAAAAATAATGAAAAATGTAACAGTAATCATAAACTAAAATGAAATTCATTAGAGCTCACAATAGCTATACCATAAATATATATAGGAACTACTCAACAATTAATACAATTTTAGAAACATACATCCGTCCACTTACAATATTTACATATTTTTATTTTGAGACGTCCAATTACAAAGTTAATATTTCATTAAATGCCCTATTTTTTTCCACAAATACATTTACTTTACATCACATCATTACTTTTACACAAAAAAAGTAAAGGCAAAAATATCATTACACTACTTTTAATTACTCACTATAATTAAAAAATTATTATTTTTAAACACCGCGCCAAAAGTAAATGTAAATATTATAAGTGGACGGAGGGAGTATTATGCAGTGATCTTATTAAGAGAAACACATGGTTGATTGAACTGATTTTAAAAATGAAATTTCAACATCCAACCAAACAAAAAATAATTAAGCTATCCATAATTACATATATATTTATTTAAAGTACCAATTTAATAATTAATTATTCATTCGGTCCCTTATAATTTTGTAGAATTGTTTTATTTGTCAAAGTTATTCACAGTCTATTTATAATAAACAATTTTATTTAGGTATGGGTAAAAAAAATCGAATCAAGCTGTCGAATCGCTGAACCGGACTGAACTGAATTATCGGTTAACCGAGGTTCGGTTCGAATACAAATATTGCATATTTGGTGTTTGTTCGATTCGGTTCGATTTCGGTTTTTTACTTTTTTTTTTGTTCGGTTAATCGAATCGAATATATTTATATAATTATATTTTAAATTTTATATTAATAATTATATTTAGTTCAGTTTTGGTTCGAATATTTAAAATATTTGCAAATATGTTTTATTTAATTAGAATTTTCTTAATTTCGGTTCGGTTTCAATTATTTGTAAATATTGCAAATATTTTTGGTTAACCGAAAATTTCGATTTGGACGCAGTTTCAGGTATTTGTTCAATTCGATTCGGATATCAAATACTTGTATATTTGTAAAAAACTGAACCGTATCCACCTCTAATTTTACTCGCCCACAATTTTATTAATCTTATTTTAAAAAATAATAATTAATTTATCATTATTTTTTCTACCGATTACATTAATTTTTTAATAATACTCTCAATTTATTTTTTATCTATTTTATTTTTATATTAAAATATTAGTATTTTTTTAAGTACGATTAAGCAAAGTGTCATAATTTTATTATGCTACAACCATTTCTTGCAACACTTGGAGGAACTCCTGCTCTTCAGATCCCAAACGCATCCACACCACTTAATGATGGCATCAACGGTTTAGATTCACAGAAGATCTTCGAGTCCCGGACGCTTCAAAGCACCGCACTTATCCAAATTTCTTTTCCATAAAAGGGCAGAAACAAATTGTAATATTTTTACCTAAATTTTTCTTTTCGAAAACGAACAGTTACAACCATTCTCAATCTATCTCCAAAATGCACAGTACATTAAAACCAAAGTTAATTAATTAATTAACTACACGATAATATTGATATTAATAATAATAAGAGCAAAAAACCCAAATCGTCTGAAATGACGAAATTACCCCTCGGAGGAGGTCTCTCCCTGCCAGCTCCACACTATGTCCTTCAACGCCGGCCGTACATCCTCGTCGCAGAACCGCCGGTACTCCAGCGTGTCTCCGGCGGACTTAGAGAACTCCACCACCACCACCTCCGGCGCCACCTCGAATATCTCCGCCGTCACCGATAACCGCCCCTTCCGCCCTTCCGCCGCCCCCTGCATCATCACCTTGTAACCCTTACTGAACATCACCCGGAAATTAGCTTTGCGGGCAAGCCATTCCAGCTTCTCCATGATCGCCGAGCTCGAGCACCTCGACGTGAACATCGAACCGGTTTTCCGGCCGGTCTCGAACAGGCTCGAGAGATCGAAACCGGACGACATGGAGGAGATGAACTCGAAGGCGTTGTAGAATGGAGGAGCCGATTTGGACCGAACTACTACCAGATCCTCGTCGAGGTCCGGGACCTCCTGGGGAGAGACGGGGACGGGCCTCGCAAACCCTTTTGAGAACCAGGGCACCCGCAGTATCCCCGGGATCGAAATTCTCTTACCAGGGTCGGGTACGAGGAGCCGCGAAATTAACCGTCGGGCCTCCGGCGAGATCCACGGCGGGAAGCGGAAGTCGGCCTTGAAAATCTTGGTGTACATTTTCATTACATTGGAATCCTGAAACGGCAAGAATCCGGCGAGGAGGACGTAGAGGATGACGCCGCAGGACCAGAGGTCCGCGGCGGCGCCGTCGTAGCCTTTTTTCCGGAGGACTTCCGGCGCCACGTAGGCGGGGGTGCCGCAGCGGGTGTGGAGGAGGCCGTCGTTGCGGTGGTGCTCCGGCAGGGCGGAGAGTCCGAAATCGGAGACCTTCAGATTCCCGTCGTCGTCAAGGAGGAGATTCTCCGGCTTGAGGTCCCGGTGGGAGACGCCGCGGCTGTGGCAGTAGTCGACGGCGCCGATGAGCTGCTGGAAGAACTTCCGGGCGGAGTCTTCCCGGAGCCGGCCGCGGGCGACTCTGGCGAAGAGCTCGCCGCCGCGGACGTAGTCCATGACGACGAAGATCTTGTTCTTGGTGGCCATGACCTCGCGGATTCCGACGACGTTCGGGTGGCGGACCAGGCGCATGACGGCGATCTCCCGCTTGATCTGCTCGATCAGGGCGGCCTCCCGGACCCGGTCCTTGGCGATGACTTTGACGGCGACGTTCTGGTCGGAGGGGGCCTGGAGGTTTCTGGCGAGGTAGACTTTCGCGAAGGTCCCCCGGCCGAGGAGTCTGCCCATCTCGTATTTGGAGAAGATGACCGTACGGCCGCCGGCGAGGGTTTCTGTGTCCTGATCCATGGGATGTGTTAATTAGTTAATTAGGATAACATTATATGTAGTAGGAATAGTTAAAAGTGATTGGGTTTGATCATCGTGGAATGAATACACCAGAAAATTAGGAAAATGATATATATATATTATCGCCGTACCGGCTACAGCCTGAATTTAAGTATTATTATATCAATTATTGTATATATTAATATAATATAAATATAATATACAATAATATTGCAGACAACACATAGTATTATTACTACAAATAATACATTGTATACGTTAATATAATACAAATATAACATATAAATTAATACTATTCTATAGCCTATACATTATACATAATAATTGATTTTAACACATAATATACTTATATATAATATATTTATTATCATTAAAAAATAACACGTACTTTTATTATATCTAATATATATTGTGTGTAATAATAATAATAATATGTATTGTTTGCATAACGATGAATAAATAAAATAAGCAAAGTGGGAGAGTACATGAAAAGGGGGTTAATGGATGGATAACGGGGAAGTAGAAAAGGGACCGTCGGATGAGGGGAGTGGGGTCGGGAAATGGACGGTGGGGATTAGAGGCACAGTTAGATGAAGAGGTCGGGTTGGGAATGATTGAACTTAACTTAACGGACGGATGTCGGATTATAATTGGAAGAGTGAGTGGGTGAATCTCTTATCTAAATTGTACCCTTTCTGTACTCTATTATTATTATTATTTTATGGAGATCAAAATTTATAGGGCTCTATTTGTTTGGACTTTTTAAATTTTTTTGCTATTTATTTAATTTTTTTAAAAAAAGAAAATTAGTTTTTAATATTTATTTTTTATTTGTAATTAAAATTGGTTTTAAATTCAAAATATTAGACTCGTGTGTTTGTTTGTCATATCTTAAGTTAAATTTTACTATTTTAATTTTCTTAAGTATCTAATAAATATTTATTTTTAAGATTATTATATTACACTAATATTTAATTTTATATTAAAAATATTATATCAATATATATTTATATTTATTAAATAACTATTTTAATTCAAAAGTTTATAATAAACTGAAGCTCAATTAGACGGATATTTGCTAGAAATTATCGACTTCATTAATAAATTAATGTTACACATTCTTTTGGAATTTAATCATTAGTTTTTCAATTATGTACTTAGGGTGTGTTTACTTTATATAATTTGAGTGTATAATATTATTTAATTTAATTTAATTATATATTTATTATTCTTTCCGTCTCAACTCAAGGTATTATTTTTATTATTTTCGTTTATTTACCGAAGTATTTATTTTTTATTTAAATAAAAGTAATCATATTCAATAACAAAATATTATTAACTTTGACCTAAATTACAAATATATCATTAAACGTACAATTATTTTTTACATAAATTCAAATAGCAAAAATGTCAAAATCTCTTGCACACTTCCACTACCTAATAAAATATTATTATTTTTTAATCTACTACAAAATCTCAAAGGACCCATTTGGACCGAGATGGAGTGATTATTATTATTTAATCGAGAATAAAGTAAAACTCAATATAATATTACTATAATTAAGTATTACTTCCTCCGTCCCACTTAATTTGTCTCATATTTTTATTTTCGTCCGTCCCACGTAATTTGTCTTTTTCTTTTTTAGAAATATAATTATACACGTTAATCACATTTTAAAATTCATAATTTATAATTTCTTATTTAAATTAAACTATTTAGTCATCTTAATCTTAATTTATAATTATTTTTTTATTAAATTATACTTCCTCCGTCCGCCTCTAAGGGTCACATTTACTTTTTGCGTCATTGTACTTAACGTTAAAAATATCCTTATATTTGTATAATTTTTTATACAAATGTCATTCTATTAGTATTATAAGACACTAATGGAACTATTTTGCTATTTTTTCTTAATTTGTACTACGTTTTGATATAACAATTAATATTCAAATATAACACACAAAAAATAAATTGGACCTTAGATACGGACGGATGTAGTAATTATTTTCAGTAATACACTTTTTAATTACTTACTAATTACACATACCTAAAACTTTATGTCTAAGCTAAAAATGACAATTTAACTGGGACGGAGAGAGTATTAATCTTTGTCTTATAGATTATATTAACTAATAAGGTATAATTAATGTTAAAAAATTATTTTAACTTTTCATTAATACCTTATTTACTATAACTTTTATCATATGATTAAGGGTATTTTTAGGCAAAATTAATAATTTTATATAATAATCTATTAAACTAAATATTTATTTATTTTATCATATGATTATATAGTCCACTATAATAATATATGTATTAAAATCTTATCATACAAAGCAAGCTTAATGTATTGAAACTAAAAAATATATATACATTATCTTACTTAAAAACGGAAATTATATAGATTAAGTTAATTATTAAGATCAATTCTAATAATTTAATAGTATTAAATTTATTTATTTAAAATATTTTATATTTGATCATAATTATATATTTGTTTATATAATTTTTAAAATGTTATAATTAAATTGATAAAAATTTATTTAATTAAAAATATTTTTAAATAAATAATACTACAATTTAAATATATAAATAAATATATGACCAATATATATATTAATACTCTAATTATGATTTTTAATAAAATTTTGCAAACATATTAAGTAAATAATAATACACTGTCAGAAAATTAGACTAAAGTTACGGTTAACAAAGTCACGATTTTCATACAAAATTGTAATTTTTTAAAATGAAAAGTCACTATGAAACAATTTTCGTAGAATTTCGCTGATGATTTTTTCTAAATTGGTAACAATTGTGTACAATAAGTCACAGAATTATACATGACAAATTCATGTCTTTATATAGCAATAGAAGCTGTTAAAAAAATCCGTGAATTTTTAAAACTTGTGACATTTCGTGATTTTATATTTAAAAAAATAATTATTATTATATTATAATGTTGAATACAACTACAAACCATTACTTTTTTAAGTACTCCTAACCATTATTTTCTAAGGGTGTGTTTGTTTGGGGGATTGGATTAGATTTTCACTATTCATCCAATTTTCCCTCCCCAAAAACATCAAATCAAACACCTATTTTTTATTTTTTATATTATACTAAAAATCAATTTTACATTCAAAACATCACATCAACACCTATTTATATTACATCATACAAATATTCAAATTCAAAATTTTTACTATTCCAATCCCAACTCAAAATTCAAACTCTCAAACAAACACACCCTAAATTTCACCGATTGTTCATTAATTATTATTAATTTTTTAAACTCAATTATTGTTTTTTTAAATATATCATATAAAATCTTAAAGTTAACAACATATTTAAATCTATTATCTGTATAATAACTATAAATAGTTCAATATTCGATTACATTAATATATGTAATAAATTAAATTAACATATTAATTAAATAGATTGAAAATTAAATAAATATAGAATTAAAGATTTTGCGAATATTTTTATACTTTAGTTACAAAAATTATTCAATTATAATACAAATAAAAAGTAAAGAGTTATTTTCTTTTTTATGACGTGGGAACCCGGAGCCGCTACTCGAAAGTGCGCACTGGTTAAACCCCCGAAAAAGTTATACTAGGCGAACCATGTGTCGCAAGTGACCTGAAGCGTCAGGGGTTTGAACCCATGACCTCACGGTCACAAGTCCAACCTCTACACCTGATGGCCATCCCTTAAGGGACGAAACTTTAAAAAGTCACGGAAATTATACCATGACAATATATGTAAAAATTTAAAATATTGTAAATATTTGTGTTATTTGTGCCGCAACTTAAATTAGTCACGAAAAAATATTGTAACAATTTTTGTGACGAAATAGTCAAAAGATACGGAATAAAAATATTTTGGACATTTTTGTTACAAAATTCGCTACATTAAATAGTCACAAAAAGTTTCTCATAATTTTTTTTTGCAAATACTACCCACGAAACAATCAAAAAAAAAAAATCGCAACATAAACTTGTCACAAAATTGCTCTCCGTGATGTCTAATTATCGCCAATTAAAATATGCAATAATTTTTGTAATTATCGACATTTTTTCTAACAGTGATAATAAAATTTCCTCCTCTCTTATTCCTAAATCTCTCAAATTGAAGATAAAAAAAAAAAAAAAAAAGTTTTTGCCTCCACTAAAAGAGAGTGGGAGAACCAAACACAACTAATATGTATTTATTTTGAGTTTTTATAGAATTTGATCATTCACTTTATATAAAGATAATTTTTATCAAATATTTTTTTTACTTTTATAATTTTTATCAAATGTCATTTTATTAGTATTATAAGATACTAATAAAAATATTTTTGCAATTTTTTTTTAATTTGTAATGCGTTTGGATATAATAATTAATATGTAAATATCAAGCCGTAAAAAATAAATGGAACCTTAGAGCCGTACGAAGGTAGTATAATCTATTATTTTCATTGTATACATATTGTTATTGTTGTCAATAAAAATCGATGTTGACGGTCTAATCGATATGAATGTATCGGTACCGAAACAAAAAAGGCTCTTAACTTCCTCAAAAAAGTATATGTGCCGAACTCAAAATCAATAACTAAATTATAGAAAACTTGAATCAAAATATTTAGATCGATAAACAAGAATTTGGAATGAAATCAACCGAATTGAATCAAAATACACTAAGTTGTGTTTGGTACAGAGAAATGAGGCCAAAGAAATAAAAATTGTATCATTTCTCTTGTTTGTTTGAGTCAAGAGAAATGGAACTTGATAAATAAATCATTTCCATTTCTCTGTTTTCATTTATCTCCCATATGCAGAGAAATGGAGAGAAATGATGTTGCAGTATATATATTTTTTAATTTTTAAAATTTTTTATACTATTTAATTTTTATAATTTTTTAAAAATTATATTATTTTAATTTTACAAAAAACAAACTTAATTTATTTTTAAAGTATTTAATTTTTACGACATTTTAAGAAATTGTACTAAAATATAATCTTAAAAAACATCGTATATAATTTATAATTTTTTTAAAAAAAAATTTACCAAAAATATTTTTCATGAATTCTCATTCGTTAAAA